ACGCGATTCCACAGTCACCGAAGTCGATCACAAATAAGCTGAGCTGATCCAAACAACGCCAATCGAATCTTACCAACCCGCCTCCGCTAACCGAACATTCGCTAAACTTAAGCTGAGCTTCAGCTGAAGCATCAACCACACCTACAAGTACATGATCAACCACTGCGACTGCACTTGCGAAGTCAGCTGCAACCGGCATTACAAGTACGGCTACCTTCCCATTCAAAATGCAATCCTCAACAACGTAAGCCAGCTCCGAACCTCAAGCTGATACCGCAGCCGCAACTCGCCCATCGAACACTACGGAGGAGGCAAGACCTGACCCGACACACTGCGACCTGCTGCAGGCAACGACCGCTCTGGAACATCCCGAACCAATGGCACAACCAAACGAACTGCCTCCACCTCCTCCTCCTCCTCCTCCTCCTCCTCCTCCTCCTCCTCCTCCCCCTCCGCCCCCTCCCCCTCCTCCTCCTCCTCCTCCTCCTCCTCCTCCTCCTCCTCGATCCTCCTCCTCCGCCATGGAGCACGACGTGCCGCACTCACAAGCACGAGCCTGACCACTGACAGAACCCCACGCGTGGCGCTCGGCCGCGGCTCGCCCTTCGGCTGCGGAGGCAACCCACCACCTCTTGCAGACGCAAGCACAAGGGACACGTACAATCGGGCTGCTGAAAGAAAGAACGATAAACACGGAATGAAGCCCCTTTTTTGGCCCCACAAGCGCCTGCGTGCACGAGGAAGGCTAGAGGAAAAGGCATAGAAGGACCGAAGGAAATCTCGGGCCCCTTTCTTCTTACCCAAACTGTTCCTTATTGCAGCGACTTGGCTGTACACGTGCGCCCGCGCAGCCTCACATCTTTGCCCGTGCCGCTTACAGCTTCATGACGGCGGAGCGCGGCGTTCGAGAATAGCGCAGGGCTGCTGAGGCGGACGAGGACAGCGACATGCAAGGGACGTCCAGAAGAAGCAACACATTAAGATGAGCAGTCTTAGTAAGACACCGGAAGGAAATATGGCGAGTGAGAGAGGTAGATAACGAGGCATACACCCAGAGAGAGAGAGAGGGACAACGCCACATAACATGTGTATACATACATGCAAACAGAGGGCGAGGAGAGAAACAGAGAGAGAGAGAGGGAACGGGGAGACGACGGGAACTTCTATAAACGTACTGGAGGCGACGGACTGAAATGAGGCGGGCGCGTGGACAGGAGAGTACACACTGATGGCACGGCGATCCTTTTCACGCCTAATGTACATTGGGCACGTGGTCCAAGCGCGAGCTGACGTCACGTAAGAGGCACATCGATGTTCAGCTGCAACGGAACACCGTTGCGCACATGCAGACAATGGCCTTGGAAGAACGTGCTCAGCCCGCGGCGCCCCCGGAAGGCTGCTGCTTGCACGCAGCCCGCCAAGATTCCACCTTAGACTTGTTTGCGCTGGTATGTGGGAAGGGACATCGGCAGAACATGCACGGGGAATAGCGACGGGAGAGGAAGCGCAGACACGTGAGGATGCACATATCGACGACGACTACGACTACAACTTCATCTGGCTGCCACCTGGTGGTTCTTTCGTATGCAAGCGCTGCGCGTAGTGTTTATCAGATCGAACAATTATTTCCGCCTTCGGTGAAGATGTGCTCACTTCTTGCTTGCGGGGTACCACGCCTTGTCCACATACGTTCCCCCAAGACCTCTCCCCAGTAGTCAGCACTGATTCCCTGGAGCTTCAAAGAACGCCCGCCAAACTCCCAAACAACCCGAACGGGGGGGAGACCATGTAAACGCACATATTCATACGTGTGCGTTCAAGGATATGCTGGTATGTGATTCACACGACGCTCGCGCCAACATTCGACGGACTTGCGTGTGACACGAATCACAATGAAAACACGTATGCTGGTAATGTACAATGTTTTGGTGACCGCACCAGCGACCCCGCTGGCACCTGTGAGAAATGTCTTCGAACCTCCCTTCTTCCCGCTACGTCTAACCCGATCGACTCTCTGAACACGCCTTCGATCAATCATGAACCAATAAAGCATCGACACGATCTCCGACACATCCCTCCCTCCTCCTCCTCCTCCTCCTCATCCCCTGTCGCCCCCCGCTGCCTTGGTCCCCCTAAAGCCACTAAGAACGCCGCAGAACACCGAAGACATCCCTGATGCCATCAGCGATTGTGGCGCTGTCGACTCGGCGCGCTATGGCGCAGCCGAAGGCCTGTAAACTGTCCAGCAAGGCTTCCGTGGTCCTCCAAGGGCGACCCCCCTCATCGCACACCGCCCCCCTGAGGTCCCCCACCCCCCCGGAAAGCGGTCCGAGGCCGCCACAAGAGATCTCCAAGAGGAGGAGGAGGAGGAGGAGGAGGAGGATGAGGAGGAGAAGGAGGAGGATAGGAGGAGGAGGGGGAGGATGGGAGGAGGAGGGGGAGGGAGGAGGGTAGGAGGAGGAGGAGGGGAGGAGGGGGAAGGAGAAGGAGGAGGAGGAGGAGGAGGAGGAGGAGGGTCTCTGAGGGTCTCTGATCAGACGGTTGGATTCGATCTGCCCTGGGACGCCGCCCGAAGTGGCCCTGCCTGCGCAGGGCCGCAGTGCCGAGCCCGATGGCATGGCGATCGCAAAACCTGCAGGCCGGACGCCGGAGGCTAGCCTCGTCCTCCCCGTCCTCGTCCTCGTCCTCGTCCTCGTCCTCGTCCTCTGCTCCTCTCTCCTCATCCTCCCCTCCTCCTCCCTCCCTCCTCCTCCCCCTGCTCCTCCTTCCTCCTCCTCCTCCTCCTCCTCCTCCTCCTCCTCCTCCTCCTCCTCCTCCCCCTCCTCCCCTCCTCCCCCTCCCCTCCATCCTCCTCCTCCTCCTCCTCCCTCCTCCTCCTCCTCCTCCTCCTCCTCCTCCTCCTCCCCCCCTCCTCCGATGTGGCTGGGATGCCATCCTCATCATCCCAACCTGCCGCATCGTCCTCCCTGCGGCGCTGGTCACTCTCCCAAGCAACAGGCGCCTCGGGGGTAGTGCTGCTGGGGCCACAGGGTGGGAAGCTCAGCGAACGCAGACGTCGGGGGATGGACCTCCGCGGCCGCAGCAGGAGCCTCTACAGCAACGCTCTTAGAACCAACATCCCCACCAGCACCACCCCCGACAGGCTCACAGCCAAGCAAAGGACCCCAAACAGCCTTCGTCTCATCTGACGGCCCAAACAGAGTGCCCACAGTGGCCCATATGACCTGGGAACAAACCACGCTTTAAACGAGACTTCTGGGTCTTATACCCCGAGTTGGACGATCCTTTGCAATTTGCTTGAAGGCCTCCCCGCGCACTCTGATGCGCGGAGGCCCAACGACACTTACAGAATACTATATCATCGAGAGCCTCACCATCGTCAGCCTGGACCGCGGCCTGGACGACGGGGTGGTCTCTAACCGCCCAGGGGCCCCCAGAAACCTCGAGGAAGTCCCTGGAAGCAGGACGATTGGGGGAAAACAAACCTACCTCGCTTTTGACCACCCTCGCTTCCACGAGATACCAAACGATGCCAAATTGCAGCCTGTACTGGTCAGGCCGCTTGACGAGGAGGCGCGTGGTATGGCTTGGTTTTGCCTGGAAGCGAAAGCGGGGTAGGTAATTCACGCTCTGAGATGAGGCGGAGGAGGAGGAGGAGGAGGCGGGGGAGGCGCGGAAGGAGAGGCAGGGGCCCCCACGGCCCTCGGAGCCCTCGCAAGCGGCTCAACCCCCTTCCTCCCGGCGAGCATCAAGGAGCGCCTGCGGAACATCAGCCCCGCACTCGATGTCTCCAGTTCCTGCAACTCCGTGGGGATCTGGCTGCTCGAGGGAACCAGAGGCGGCCTGCGCTCTACCGTGCCAGGAGGTGCGGTCGCGAGCAACTCCTTTTGCAACCAGAGACGAGCAAGGGCCACTGCCCAAGGGTCCCCCAGAGCTTGGCCCCCTACTTGGCATGCTCGCGTGCTACGCGGCTGCCACGGGCAAACCAGACATCATGGTCTGTGCGGGCAGCTGGCTCTGAGGTGTGGGCCTTCACTTCAGAAACAAAGGGAAGCCTGCCTATGCCAGCCCACCAATCGACCCAAAGGTGCCTCCGAGGGTTATCCCACGACAAGGCCTCGCCGGAATTTTGCGCACAGGCGACCGTGCCAGAGCAGTCACAACAGACCTCGAGCGGCGGTTCATCGCTCCACTGTGAGAATTTGCTGAGCATATAAAATGCATAGTCCTCGCCATCGCGAGCGACCTGCGATGGAACAACATATAGAGGTACAATACCGTACATGGCGGCAGGAGGAGGAGGAATATTTTCATTCCATGCTGTGCGCACGAGGGTCACGGATATTATGTGAAATATGAACGCGTGCTGCAATCAAGATCGGCTCGCACAGGCCTGAGCACATCGATGGATTAATCGGCTGAAACTCGCATGGACCTGACTGGTGCGAAGCAGGGGGCTTGAGCCCAGAGAGGTACGGACAGCCCTCCCCAGCACTGACTGTCACAACGATGCGCATCTAAAGATCAGGTTATCTTCTTTCCATGCTGTGCTCACGCGGGCCACGGATATTCTGTGTGAAATATGAACGCGTGCTGCAATCCAGATCGGCTCGCACAGGCCTGAATCAATTGATAGATTCATCGGCTGAAACTCGCACGGACCCATAACCAGGAAACTTCCACAAACAACACATGGCCGTCTTCTGCGGCCGACCTGGAAGAGAGGTCCCGGGGCACAACATAGTTACTGCAGATGAGCACGGAGACGATGGATATTCTGGGCTAGGAGGGCCCTCTCGACACAGGTGACGATCCTACGGCACAAGTTACGATGATAGGCCTCGGCAAGCTTTGTATGGAATATGCCCTGGGGACTCTTGCCTTCTAATTGCATGTGGGGGGGCAGGGGGCGCGTGCACACCCCGCGGCCGGAACAGTGACTGACGGCCGTGGATGGGTCGAGGTTCACAGCACGAAAACGAATTCGCTTTCTCCAGGGCAACCCCTCCACGTAAAAATCCGCACAACAAATCCCGAGGATTAGCAGAGGAAGCGGACGACCACGGCGGGGGAGGCTTCGCGCTGCAAGGTGCGGCACCGCGGAGCGCAGGACGGCTCCGCAGCCAGCTCTGTCCGGGGCACTCGATTGCTGGGGGCGCCCCCGTTGTGCGCGCCAGCTTCAGCAGACTGCCCCAGAAGCTGGCGGGGATTTTTCCAGACCGAGCGGCTTTCTCGTCCCAAGGTTTGAGCCGTGGGAGTCCGATCGGAAAGCTGGCATTTCGAAGCGTCGCGGGCCCGTTGGGCCCGTTGCCCCTTGTGCTGAAACTATTACAGGGCAGCCCGATCCAGACGGCACGGAGGGGTCCGGCCAGGATCCGAGCTCGAAATAACTGCTGAAACGAACGACGACGGGACAGGTCGTGCTCAGGCCCGAATCGCAAATCGACATCAAAGACCGGGATGCCTCGCAGACGGGTTCCCTGTTGCCGAGCAGAGCTGAATCGCCCTGTCCCAGAGAATAGCTCCACAGCGAACCCGCGGGACTCGAAAGCCCCTGAGCGCCGACGTCGCGTCAGCTCGGCAGGGGCCGCGCGCCAATGTCCCGCTCGGCGGCGCCAGCTGCGTGCACTCGCGCGAGGCGGCGGTTCCTGGAGCAGCTGGTTGGCCCTGCCGCCCTTCTTGTGCCGAGTGGCTGACCGCTTCGTCATCCACCGTCCTCTGTCCTGGATGTCTCGCGGGTCGCGGGCCCCCGCCATGGCGTCGCGAGACGCGCCGCCGTGCCGGAGCATGGAGAGCACGGGCGTGACGTCCCCCGCGCGCCCCGCCGCCTCAGCCGCGGTCTCGAAGCCCACTGCCCACTCGCGGAAAGTGAAGCGGAAGACGCGAGCCTCGCACAAGCTCCCGCGGAGCCGAGCGAACAGCCTCTCCACGAACGGGACGGAGGCCACGTTACCCACGAAGAGGGTCGCGTCGCGGGCGCCCGTCTCAGACGTGATGACGAGCTCCTGAGGATGCAGCACCACGCTCCACTTCAAGTTCTTCCGGGCGCCCGCTTGTCGGCGGCGGTGCCGGGTCGCGCGCCCGTATCCGCGGGAGCTCGCACGGGCGCAAGTGCTGAACGAAGGCAAAGACGACGGCGGCCCCGAGGTGCCAGCTGCCCGGCTCGAGCAGACGCCGCGCCGCCAGGCGGGCAGCCGCCCGCGGCAGGGGCAGCCGCACCTGCGGCGGGCGCAGACGCGAGAAGCCCCGGCGGGCCAGGTGCACGCGCGCCAGCCGAAGCAGCCAGGGCCAGCAGCCAGGCGGAAGTATGCGATGGCCGCCACCATCTTCGATGCCCGTTCGACTTCCGGCCGTCGTGGAACATCAGGTCAAGCAGCCTACGACTGCGATCTCCAGGTCCGCCGGCCGCGTGCGCTTCAACCGCTGTTC